AACTCCCAGAATCCCCCAGCCAGCATTCGCTGGCTGGGGGATTCTGGGAGTTGAAGTCCGGACATCTTCAAGTTGCCAAGGTTGAGAAACACTGCCTTAGGGATTTAAAAAAAAAAAAACCAGCTCTTGAAATTGCCCATGGAAACCAACGAGGGTGGGGCAAACAGTATTTTTTCTTCCCCGGAGGGAACTGGCTGCAGTTTCCGAGGGGCCGTGGTAGGCAGCCTCAGGCAGAGTGTATTGTGGTTATCGAAGAGAGCAACAATGGCGTCGGAATGACCACATCTAAGTCCCTGAACCAGGTAAGGCTGCAGGGGGTACATCACTAACGATGGGCAGAGGCCCCCCTGCTTCTACCTGCTTCTGGAGAAGGAGCCCAAGCCCAAAGGCTCTCGTGCAAATTGCTCTCAGCAGCCAGGTGGGTGACAGCACGACTCCTCCCCAGTGGGAAATTACGAAGCCCCTGGATGGCAGGCAAGAAAGGATGAGGAGCGAGCTCCCTTCAACCCTCTTTTCGCCACAGTCCAACCCCAAATGTGGGCATAGCCCATGCTCAGATTCACTTCTCTTCCTCTTTCAGCACTCTCCACCCAGAGCCAGGCAATGAGACACTTAATAAATTATCACCACCACTGTTGGCACTTGTATGTCGCAGAAAACCTCAGTTTAATGCGGGGATCGTAACAGGCCTCTCAGAAATGAGGCCACCCACTGCTCGGGAGCTACTGAACCACGCTGCCCCTGTAAAACTAGGGAATTCCCAGTGCATCCTTTGGAAACCGCCTTGGCTGCATTCTGGACCAGCTGTAGCTTCCAAGTGGTCTCCGAGGGCAGCCCCATGTATGGTGCATTGTAACAGTCCACGTGAACAAGGCAACTAAGTTACCAAGGATTGTGAGAAGAGTGTTGTGGCCTCTCGGCCGCCGGTCCTTCCAGCAGCCGAATCAGAGGAGGGGGAGGGAGGAGGAGGAGGAGGAGGAGGAGGAGGAGGAGCAGCATCGGGGAAACCTGGGAGCTCCGGGGGGGGGGGGAGGAGAGGGAATGGAGCTGTCAGAGAGAGAGAGGAACGGAGGGAAAGGGAGGGAGAGAAAGAGAGAGAGGGAGGGTGGGAGAGAGAGAAAGAGAGAGGGTGGGAGAGAGAGGGTGGGAGAGAGAAAGAGAAAGAGTGGGGGAGAGAGAGAGGGAGGGAGAGAAAGAGAGGGAGAGGGTGGGAGAAAGAGAAAGAGAGGGGGAGAAAGAAAGAAAGAGAGAGAGGGTGGGTGGGAGAGAGAGAAAAAGAGAAAGAGAGAGGGCGAGAGGACCTGGGCCGTCCGTCAGAGCCTCAGATGGAGAACCAAGAGCCCCCAGGCCTGGAGGGGGCTGATGAGGAAGAGGAGGAGCAGATGGGTCCAGTGCCTGATGCGCAGAAGGCAGAGAGAGGAGAGGAGAGCAGTGGAAATCTATGGGCCGGTCCTCAGGACGGAAGAGCCACAGCTGCTGGAGAATCCCCACCCGAGCTCTGGGGATCAAGGCAGGGGGCGGAGGTGAATAGATGGGGCAGACCACCATTCATCTTCTGGCCGGACAGGCTTGTTGTCTGCTGTGAGAGAGAAACTTTCTGCCAGGGCTGCCGGCGCTTCTAATCAAGGAATCGTTGGTTTAACTACAGAGGGCTTGTTGTGTTTGGGAGCTGGGTCAGAACAGAGAGACTCTAAGCAGGAAGAACCCAAACTGCAAATAAAACAATCCAGGGTGAGGTTCACTGTTGCTAAGGTGGCCACTTACTCCCAGGCTGCCAGGCAGGATGCCACGTGAGGGCAGGTTGAAGCCTTCAAGGATGATGGGCCCCGGGGATCACACTGCCAACACAGCAACGGAGCCAAGGGGCGAAAGCAGGGAAGTTGCCGTAGCACAAAGCTCTTGGCTCCCTGGAGCCCACGGCTTCAACCGCAGGTGTTTTCCTCCAGCGCAGGTGCCTCTGAAGGCCATTCGGGCTTCTTGGATCTCTTCCCTGCCCCGGGCTTGGTGCTCCCAAGGGGAGCTTCCTTCTCAGAGGGCAGCGCCACCATCTGGGCCCACCCAAGAAAAGGTGGAAGCCAGGGGCCCTAAGGATCTGGCTACCTGGGATTCAGGCTGGCGGGGAGGGCAGGAGGGTGGAACTGGTTTCAGAGACTGACTCCACTTTCCTGCGAGTGGTTCCCACACCTGCCTCAACAGCTGTACACAGAAAGCAGCAGTAACCCAAGGCAACGCTCTTCCCCCAACTCCAGGGGTGGGAGATTAATTTTCCCAAGAAATTGGGGCTCTTAAGGAAGGTCCCTGGCCTCGAAAACTCTCTGCCCCCCCCCAAGATTGAATCACAATTACATGGCCACAGGGATGCTGTTAACGGTTGTAAGAACGTTTTGTCCCTTTTTAAACACTGTTAATAATAGCCATAGCAGTTAGACTTATATACCGCTTCACAGTGCTTTCCAGCCCTCTCTAAGCGGTTTACAGAGTCAGCCTCTCGCCCCCAACAATCTGGCACTTTTAGCGACCTCAGGAGGATGGGAAGCTGAGTCAACCTGGAGCCGGTCAGGATCAAACTCCTGGCTGTGGGCAGAGTCACCTGCAATGCTGCATTCTAACCACTGTGCCACAATGGCCCTTAATGTTGAATGGTCACTAAACAATAAGTCGTTAAGTCAAGGACTATCTGTATCAAATATTAAGATTCATTCTCCACTTCCATTTGGATTCAACACAAGAGGCTCCTCTTTCTCCTCTTATACTAAACGGAGGGCTCGTTTAATTTTGGAAAGTTTAGTAAGGCAAATCAATTCTACCCTTCAGGATGTAGTTTTCCACTTGCCATTTAGTTAGACCAGGAGGTTAAACATTTGCGTGAATCCTATTTTATCCAACGGAAGAGAGAAAATTGTATATAATACGTGATGAGGCTAAACTTGGCAATGAAGCCCACTCTAGGCCTGGATACCCTTCAGGTTTCAATCGGGCAGCCCCTGCTTCAGAAGACCTCATTCCAAAAAGCCCACCCTACAAACTGCCATTCCGTTCCTTCCCTGTCAATCAATTGGGCCTTTGCCAGATGGAGATGAGTGACAGGGAACCACAACACACAACCACCAAATTCAAACGCCGGTGCCCAAGCAGGAGAGCAGCCACACCCGGAGGGAGGGCAAGGGGAGAGTTTGGGTCCCTTTACCTGTGAGGATGTTCTTGAAGGCCTCTTCTACATTTGTTGAGTCAAGTGCTGACGTTTCAATGAACGAGAGATTGTTCTTTTCTGCAAGGCAAAAAAGAGTTAAAATATCATTTACAGTTTTAAGGACTGCTTTGGGCACAGTGGAGCACTCAAACGGGGGAAGGCCGGTTTCATGTGTAGCAGGATTTTTCCCTAAGCGACTAGTTAACGGAGGGGAAAATTAATACTAGTCTGGATTATGCATAACCAACTCATGACCAGCTGGGTTTAGCACCTAGTCTGATGCCTCTCTTCCGATCCAGGAGAAGGACCAGAGAGTCCTAGTTCTTCAGTTTTAAAACGAAGAAGAGTTGCTGTGGCATCCAAAAGTAGCAGGCTTTAATCGTGAACAACCAAGTTTAGTCTTGTTTTCAAACTAGCTTAGTTTTGCTAACTAAAAGGAAGAAAAATCAAGTCAAACGGGAACACGAGAAGCGTTGCATTTATTTAAAGGGGACCCCGGGTGGCCCGCAGTGTTTTAAAATCTTACGGCATAAAAATCCATGGAACCCCTCTCCCTCCATTTTAGCTCATGGGGCTCAGTGCGATTTGACACAGTGACGCTCAATCAGCTTCCTACGCTCTGCCCTTGGGACTCATTAACTTAAACTACGATTATACTAAGTCTTGGCATAAAGATTGAGACTGAACTGGAGGCAAGAGCGTGTAACCCACTTGGTCCCACTGAGGCCATTGTAACTCTGAGGGACTGCAGTGTGTGATGCCGTCTCCCAGCCAGGGTCAACAGAAAAATGTACTCATTCTAAGATACATTCAGGCTTGGCAAGTTCGAAACAGCATTTTGTTGAAGCCTTTGGCTTCCCCCACCCGCCATCCTGGGCCCAACGTTTGGGAAGCCAGGCTCTGCCTGTCACAAGCCAGGACAAAGGGTGAGTAACACCTCCTTCAAAAACCTGGGCCTGGCTGGTAGCACCTCGTAAGGGCCCCTTTCCAGGGTTACAGGAGAAGAGGGTCAATGGTTTTGAAGGGGGAAGAGGGCTCTACGCCCCAACGGCAGATCAAGCGGCTCAACCATCTTCTAGGAGAAGGGAAACTCTGATTACAAACCTCCACTGCCTGGTGGCTATAGCCACTCCTGGAAAAGGCTTCAGGAGTCAACAGTTCGTGACTGTGTACAACCACGTTCTGGCAACTCCTGTGACGTAGCTGGAACCCATCGTATCGGTTCTGCCGTTCCATCGGACTATTTCAGCCACGTGGAGAGGAGGGATCTGCTGCTTGGGTAACAGTCTATCCTCCATATTAATCTACCCAGGCCTCGTGCTCTGGAGAGGACACTCCAGCTCTTTACCTCTTCCCAGAGCACGAGTCCATCGTCTTTTGAGATGGAAGGAAGCCAATGTTGGCTTCATCCAACTTCCTTAGAGTCTCTTCTCGTGATCATTCATAGCTCAGTTCCCTTGTGCACGGGGACTGTTACAATGCATGGTACACGGGGCCGCCCTCGGAGACCCCATTGGAAGCTGCAACTGGTCCAGGACGCAGCAATGAGCCAAAGGATCCCTGGGGGATTCCCTGATTCCTGAACATCAGGTGCTGTTGTTCCCGAGAGGGACATATCCTTATTCTAGACTTTCCCTGCAGCAAACGCACTTTGGGTGTTTCAAAATCCCTGCAATGCTTCAGCAATTTGCACCAAAGCTTTTTGTAAGGCATGCAACGGGGGTGGGGGCCTTTTTTTCTTTCCTCCCCGAGATTCCCCAAAAACCTCTGAGCACATTTTGAGAGAGCAACCTGTCCTGCTTTGACATTATATTACGTTGACAGCAGCCAGACAATTGCGTGCCCCAAAATGGAGAGAGACTTCGATTCCCACCATGGACGAAGAGCTGCAGAGGCTGATGGGAGTTGGCAGACGTGGCTAAATCGATTGTTTTGATCAAGGGAAAGAATGTGTGTTTTGGTTTCCACACGGAGACCAGAGTCCTTCTGAACTTTGTGCTTGCAGTGGAAAAGAAGGAAACTCTGACTTTGGGTTTTAGCGATTAGACTGATGGATCTTTATAGAAATGGCTCCTTTCCTTTATGATGATGGAGAACCAAAAAGCTCTGGTTTGATGTCAATGCCTTATTTTACCGCAACAGAGGGAATCAATGTTTTTCTTCCTTTTTCCCAACCCTACCTCGCTTTTCTCCCCCCCCCCGTCCCCTTGAACTGCTTTCCTATTTACCTCTGCCCTTTGCATCTTATTTTATCTTGTAGCTCAATATGTCAAATTGCTACAGGCCAAAAGAAGCGCACAGGGGGCCAAACCTGCAAAAGCACGGGCCTCGTCCGTGGGCACGGCCCTCAGGTGGCGCAGATCGCTCTTGTTCCCCACCAACATGATGACAATGTTGTTGTCCGCGTGGTCCCGGAGCTCCTTCAGCCAGCGCTCCACGTTCTCGTAGGTCAGGTGCTTGGCAATGTCGTAAACCAGGAGGGCCCCCACGGCACCACGGTAGTAGCTGAAATTGTTTGAGAGAGCATTACGCCAACCGGAAGCCCAACCCCACCACGGCCTCTTGACCACAGGGCAAACCGCCAAGGGGCCCCGCTTAAGATCTTGTAGCCAAGAGCGTTCACCAAATGGGCGCCCTAAAATCTTGTCACAGGCATGCACGGGTCATCCTCCACTTACAACCCTTGGTTTAGGGACAGTTCGGTTACAACGGCGCCGGGAAAAAGTGACTTATGACTAGTTTTCACACTTATGACCATTGGAGCATCCCCAGGCCATACGATCAAAATCTGAATGCTTGGAAAATAGCACTAGCAATAGCAGTTAGACATATATACCGCTTCATAGGGCTTTCAGCCCTCTCTAAGCGGTTTACAGAGTCAGCATATCGCCCCCACAGTCTGGGTCCTCATTTCACCCACCTCGGAAGGATGGAAGGCTGAGTCAACCTTGAGCCGGTGAGATTAGAACCGCTGAACTGCAGATAACAGTCAGCTGAAGTGCAGTACTGCACCCTAACCACTGTGCCACCTCGGCTCAGGTGACAGTGGCAATTTCCCTTGGTGATGCCTTCGCTTTTTGTGACCTTCTGGCATGCAAAGTCCACGGGGAAGCCGGATGCCCTTAACCACCGTGTTCACTAACTGAACTGTGGTGATTTACTTAGCAACTGTGATAAGGAAGGTTGTAAAATGGGGCAAAATTCACTTAACCACTGTCGTGCTTCAGCAATGGAAATCTTGGGCTCCCTTATGGTCGTACACCGAGGACTACTTATAATGATCTTAACACCCCACCCACCCCACCCCCGTTAGCCCCTTACTAGCCCTCTAGCCACGCTGCCTTTCAAGCCTTACGCAGAGGTGATGGCACGATAGCGCTCCTGGCCTGCCGTGTCCCAGATCTGGGCCTTTATTGTCTTCCCGTCCACCTGGATGCTTCTGGTGGCAAACTCCACCCCAATGGTGCTTTTGCTCTCCAGGTTGAATTCATTCCGTGTGAAGCGGGACAAGAGGTTACTCTTCCCCACGCCGGAGTCTCCGATCAGCACCACTACCAGGGCAGGAAAAGACAACACGCCATCAGTATTCATTCACTCATCGCCTGGCAATGTGTGGAAGGAAGGGAGGGAGGGAGGGAGGGAGGGCGGGAGGGAGGGCAAAGGGCACCACAGGCAAATTGCCCAGGGAGGACAGTTGTGGTTAAGAGGAAGACTTTAAACTGTGGTTGAATGTCCTGCTTTTCTGCTTCCTCCCATCCCCTTCAATAGCTGATTGCTACTTTTCCTATCCCACTTCTTCTCCGTGCCACCCCAAATTTCCTTCAGCCAAACTCAATTATTAGGGACTTCCGTTTTCTGTTCTTGCCCCCCCCCCCCCGTACAGAAGTGATTTGTGGCTGCCGTTTTCCAGGAGGCTTCCAACTTTCCATCGCTCTGTATTTCTTGGTGGTCTCCCACCCAAATCCTAATCAGATCCAACTTTGTTTAGCCTCTTTGTAAAGATTTTCTGAGGTTACTAGATGCTTCTAGGTACTTGGACTAGTTCTGTCAATGGAAACAGTTACGGAAACAAATTTCTAACCCAGCAATATCCTTAGAGCTACCTTATGCATTTGCCTCCCGATAAAAAGACTTTTGTGGTACTTGGTATGTTGGGAGATCCGGCAAAAACAGAAGAGACCGTTCAAGTCTAAAGGCCACAGACCACAAAGTATATCATCTTCAATTTCAAAATCCACTTTATCTGGACTATGAAGATAACAGAAACTCTTAAGAGTAAACAAAATGGCCTAGCGGCAGTGGAAACCTAAGCAATGCTTTCATCCATAAAACACAGACAGAATTAAAATGCTAAAGGTACTTAAGCAAAAATAAATATCTGGGAGTAGAAAACCCCCTCAACTTAAGCATAAGCATCAATGGCTAAGTCCAAGGCAAATGTTTTTGAATAACTTATCACCCTTTATTATAAGTAACGACAGAGAACATACCAAAGACTGCTTCCTCCTCTTCTTTTCCCCAAACCTGGTGAGGTGGATTGGGCTCTGAGGGAGCAACTGGCCCAAAGTCATCCAGCCGGCTTTCACGGCAAAAGCAGAACTAGAACTCACCGTCTCCTAGTTCCTAGCCTGGTGCTTTAACCATTAGACCCAGCTGGTACTCCTTGCGTTACACTGGCAACAGTCTGTACAGAAATCCCAGCTTAGCATACAATTAATTATGCCTCCTGAGTCCATTTATTAACGGAGCGGGTAAAAAGATTTACCTCCTCTGAGTTTTCATTTTCCTTTAGTTTCCAACTTTTACTCTCTGAACCCATTCTCACAATCTATTTGCTCTCTGCAAGTCTGTAGAGTTTCTCCATTATCTGGGTGATGGTTGTCTAAAAAGGTGTTTTTTCAGAAGGCCACTGGACTTTCTTGGTTTTTTTCTTTTGGAGACGTTTCTCTTCTCATCCGAGAAGCTTCTTCAGCTCTGACTGGATGGTGTGGAATGGAAGGATTTATACTCCTTGTAGACAAGCTGGCCATTTGCATCCTTTTAGAGGGTTGTTGAAGCACTTGGGGGTTTAGCTGTGTCCTCAGAGTCACCTGAGTGGTCACCCGCTTTCCACAGTGACTTTCAACTGCTTAAACAAATAAGATAGCCCAGCCCTAAAGAGAAGCAAGCAGCAATATCCATCAGCCCCCCCCCCCTCCCACCCTAAGAACTGATGAAGTTTCTTGGATGAGAAGCGAAAGGTTTTTTTTTTTCTTCCTCAAAGAAAAAAAACACTCCAGTTGTCTTTTTAAAGAAAAAAGCAACTTGGGAGACGTGGGAGTGGGCTGCTCTTCAATTGTGGACTTCTTTCACAAGAATCAGCAAACATGCCTACAACACTGGGCTCCGTGGTCACTTGATATTGGGGCTGTGGGAGAGTTTGTCTCTTTTTTATTTGCTGGATTTCATTACTAGCTTAAGTTACCTCTTCATGCTAACCAAGTTAGAGACCTGAGATCCAGGTCTCTAACCTGGATCTGAGATGGGTACTTGAGAGACCGCCTGCTGCCAATCACCTCCACTAGACCGATCAGATCCCACAGATTAGGCCTCCTCCGAATTCCATCCGCCGGCAAGTGCCGACTGGCGACTACCCAGAGGAGGGCCTTCTCTGTGGCTGCTCCGCCCCTCTGGAACGAACTCCCCATGGAGATTCGAACCCTCACCACCCTCCAGGCCTTCCGCAAAGCCCTTAAAACCTGGCTGTTCCGACAGGCCTGGGGCCTGTCTCGAATGGTATGACTGTTGTGTGTTTTTAAATTATGTATTGTTATGTCTCGTCTTTTATTTCTGTCTGTACCCCCCTTCCCTGATTTGAATTGAGCCACCCTGAGTCCCCTTCGGGGGAAAAGGGCGGCATATAAATATAATAAAATCAATCAATCAAATCAATCAATCAATCCATCTATTATCCAGGTCAGTGTCACTTGACTGACAGTCCAGCTCTATGATTCTAATTGCAACTCAAATGTACCAATAAGGGAGAATATTTGCAGCTCAGGGTTGAAACGAGGGGTCCTTGGTGCTCTCTGAGCTCCCTTGTTTTCTTGCAGACGTTTCATTAGTTCGTTAGACCTAGTTAGAGTAATGAAATGTCTACAAGAAAACAAGCGAGCTCAGAGAGCAGCAAGGACCCCTCAACTCAAATCTGATTGGATTATTACTGCACCCCAATGCTGGTAGCCTCTGAATCTCTGGACCCCCAAATGCACTCACAGGAAATAACCCTCTTTCTTTCTCTGACAATCTCCCACCCCCTCCTTTAAGCCCAGCCAGCTCTAGCGTGAGCATCACATAAGCTTATCAATGGCTCTGTTCTGTTACACATCATGGGACACACACACACACACAGACAGAGAGAGAGAGAGAGAGAGACAAGAAAGCAAGGGGACAACAAAGACCTACAGAACGAGTCCACCACATTTTTGACTCAGAAACATTCCTGAAAGAATACAGAAGAAGAAGGGCTGCAAGGGACCTGGGAGATCTTCTATCTAGTCCAAGCCCAAGACCATTCTAGCAAACAGCTGTCCAGGCTTCACTTAAAGGTGATGGAAACTCACCATTTCTGGAAGCAAGCCCTTCTACTGGTTAAGGAAGAGGGGCTGCCCAGTATTATTCTTACATTTATAGGCCGCCCATCTCCCTATCAAGCCACTCTGAGGGGCTTCCAACATCGTAAAATAGCAATATAACACCACCCGAACATTACACAACATTCAGAACACAGAAGGTTCAACATTAAAAAGGAGGATTGTCCTCCAGGCAACTGGACTTACTGTTTTTTCCTTCTTTGAAGATGTTTCGCTTCTCATCCAAAAAGCTTCTTCAGCGGATGAGAAGCGAAACGTCTTCAAAGAAAAGCCAGAAAGTCGAGTTGCCTCTTGAAAAACTACCTTTGGGACAAGACAAATAATTGTTAACAGTTGATATTTTTACAGTATTTTCATTCAAATTATGTACGCATGTTGCATAGCTCTATCCTTTTGAACACCCTAACCCACCCAGAGTTAACCGAGTTATTTTACCCGGTGGCAAGATGGGTGGCTAACAATTTTTAAAAAAATAAATAATAATTCATTATGTTCATTATTGCCACTGATTCCCAGCGATCCTGGGCAGATCTGACCCCTGTCTGACAGGCCAAAACTCAAAGAAAAATCCACCTAAACATCCATTCAGAAGAACACCCATTGGTTTCTCAAATCCAATAGCACTAATAATTACTAATTTATACTTTTTACACTCTTTTATTCAAATTATATACGCATATTATATAGTTTTATCCTTTTGAACACCCTAAACCGCCCATAGTTAGAGAGTTATTTTATCCCCTGTGGCAAGATGGGTGGCTAACAAATTGAATAAAATAAATCATTCATTAGATCAGTGTTTCTCAACCTTGGCAACTTGAAGATGTCTGGACTTCAACTCCCAGAATTCCCCAGCCAGCGAATGCTGGCTGGGGAATTCTGGGAGTTGAAGTCCGGACATCTTCAAGTTGCCAAGATTGAGAAACACTGCATTAGATTCACCTTATCACCGATTCCCTGGCAGGTTTGATCCCCCATCCTGTGGGGCCAAAACCCAAAGGAAGACCCTCCTAAACATCCCCATCGGCTTCTCAAATCCAACAATGCTAATAATCATTAGCAGTATACTTTTTACACTCTTTTAAGTTTATTTTATTGTCACTGCATCTTGTACAATGAAATTAAATGCCCTCTTCAGTGCACATCATACCCAAGAAAACTATTAAAAAAAACCACACAAACATCCTTCACCATTGAATTGAAAACCGATACTGCATTAGTATTGCACTATACTTTATTTATAAAATATACGATTGTAGGAAGTTATCACCCAGCCCTCTCCCAGAAAAATGAAATATCCTAGGAAATATTGAAAAGGCAGAATATTTCTCTGGATTTGAAAAGGAAAAAACATGTTTTAAAAGAGAGAATAGCTCCCTGCAGCTTCCTGCCCATCCCCCTTGTCAATGAGCCATTAAAGCCTGAGCTAGTCCACTTTACATAATAAAGACTTCTTCCCTCTCAGTTCCAGAGTAATGGGATTAAGACATGATAATATTGGCCCTTTTCCCAACTGACCACATGGCATCTGAGAACTCAACCAAACCTGGATTCAAAACGCAGCCTAGGAGAGTTCCCCCTGCATGGGCCCTATGGGAGTCTGACAACCAATCAGAATACAAGCTCAAGATCAAAGGCCAGAGAGGGCATAAAACCAGGGACTCGGCATCTCAGTCCTTCCTTCTCTTCTTCTCCACCAACATTGAAGCATGTGATCCCCTTTTCTGTTCAGGACTCAAGCCGTGTGGTCCTGTCCACCAATAAACCATCTTTCCAAGCAGCCTCCATGTCTCCAGTGTCTTTTCCCCCACTTGGAGCTGAACCCAGAAGGACGTTTCTTTCAACAATACTAAAGGTAAAGGTTCCCCTCGCACATAAGTGCTAGTCGTTCCCGACTCTAGGGGGCGGTGCTCACATCCGTTTCAAAGCCGAAGAGCCAGCACTGTCCAAAGATGTCTCCGTGGTCATGTGGCCAGCATGATTAAATGCCCAAGGCACACAGAGCACTGTTCCCACCAAAGGTGGTTCCTATTTTTCTACTTGCATTGTTTACGTGCTTTCAAACAGCTAGGTTGGCAGAAGCTGGGACAAGTCACGGGAGCTCCCTCCGTTACGCGGCGCTGGGGATTCGAACCGCCGAACTGCTGACCTTTCTGATCGACAAGCTCAGCGCCTTAGCCACTGACCCACTGCCCTTATTAGTCCCTTAATAATTAGCAATGTACTTTTTACACTCTTTTAAGTTTAAGTTTACTTTATTGTCATTGCACCTCGTACGACGACATTAAATGCCCTCTTTAGTGTGCATCATACATAAGAAAACTATTAAAAAAATAAAACAAAAACACCCATCCTTCTTCCCCTTCCACACCTTTGAACTGAAACCTCCGGATACCACATTAGTATTGCACTAGACTTTATTCTGTTTATAAAATATACTACGCTATCCATTTTATTCTAATCATGTACGCATTTTGTAGTTTCATTTTAAAAACATATTTTTATTAACATTTTAATATTTTTTTAAAATACAGCGAACTACCCACAAATACAAACTTTACCCTCCTTATTACACCCGATCAACAGAAATAAAATCAATTCTTCATCCGATTCATGAGTGCCCCCTTTCCCCCCTCCAGCCACCCTGGGTGGGTTTCATCCCCCTCCCCACCTACCTCCCCCCCCCACTCTTGGGGCAAACCCAAAGGAAGAAGCTTATCCCCCCCCCTTTATTTTTAACCAGGGCTGGATTGAAATGGCGCCCCTCACATTTCCCCTTATTTTGGGGGTTATTTTAGAAGGGGGGGTGGTTGGAAAGGAGGACACGGGTGGGGGGGGCAGGGGGCGGTTTTCATTCGAGAGACCCTTCGGCAGGGAAGGGGGTTTCCAGCCGGCCCTTGCGGAGGGGGAAAAGGGGGTGTCTTTGAGGGGGGGTCTTCCCTTCCCTTCAAGCCCCCCACCCTTCATTTCCTTCAGGCCTGAGCAGGGGCGAGGAGGGGGGTTTCCAACGGGCCCTTGTGGGGGGCGAGGGGGGAAGGGCGACCCTCTCCCAAGAGGGGAAATGGGGGTTTTTTGAGGTGGGGTCTTCCCTTTAAGCCCCCCCCTCATTTCCTTCAGGCCTGAGCAGAGGCGAAGAGGGGGGTTTCCAACGGACCCTTGTGGGGGGTCAGGGGGGAAGGGGAAATGGGGGGTTGAGGTGGGGTCTTCCCTTCAAGCCCCCCCCCCTTCATTTCCTTCAGGCCTGAGGAGAGACGGGGCGGGGTTCCACTCAGGGCCCCTTCCAGGAGGGTCGTCTCCTCTTATCCCCCCAGAAGCCCCCCTCCCTCCCTCGCTCGGCCTCCCCGCCGCCGCCGCCGCCGCCTCAGGCCCACCTTTGAAGAGATAGTCGTACTCGTCGTCGCGGGTGCCCATGGCGGCGCTGGGCCCGTCCCTCTCAAGGAGGAGGAGGAGGAGGAGGAGGAAGAGGAGAAGGAGGAGGAGGACGAGGAGGAGAAGGCAGGCAGGCCGAGCCGGGCGGGCCGAGCCGGAGCGATCCGCGCCAGCGCCGCCTGACAGGATTTTCCGCCGCCCCCCCTCAGGCAGGACAGGCAGGCAGGCGAAGGGCGGGGCCGGCGCGGAGGTGACGCCACGCGAAGGACAGCCGGCTCCGCTTA